AGTGGCCACCTTGCAAACACCTCAAGCACAAGCGCAAAACGGGAAACACAAAGGACGTATTCATGAACTGCCAAAAAAATGTATACATAAAGGAAAAGCCAAGGGCAGAAATGAGACCAAAAGTTAGTACAACTGACAGCAAAGCTATGTATTTAACATGGCAACATGCTGAGAAATTAATATTCTTAGTCACCGGATTCCAGTTAACTTTTTTTCCTACTTCGAGTTTCTTTTTAAATCTCGCAACTCTTTTAAGTCAATTATGCTATTTTGGAATGCTGAGAGGTTGGAAACTACTTAAATATTCAAGAAGAGAGGAGGGCAGATTTAGAAAATTAGCTGAGAAGATAACCTTAAGTGCCTAGTGACAGGTGGTACAGTACAAATGAGCTATACTATACATAGTTTATATTTCTTGTACTGGTTCCTCCTTGTAAAAGCAATACACATAAGGATCAGAAAATATAATCAATAGAACTTAAGGAATATCCACAATGCCATCTACCTAGAGACAATGCCTGTTAATTCTTTGTTATCTAGCCCCTAGATCCTCTTGCAGTATGTAGAATACATGGAATGCATTCCCATCGTATTCTATACTGTACCATAATTTAGCCATCTAGCTATTAAATACTTAGATGTTTCAAATAATGCCCCTTTGTTTGATGTGTAATCAGTTACTAATTTTTACTATTACAAGCAATTTCAAGGAGGCAAAAATAAGAATTTAAGATTTAAGTGCAAAGATGAAAAGGACTCTAAATCATTCATGCGTGAGTTTATTGAATGAACATATGTTAAACATATTTACCTACTATGTGCCAGGCACTTTGCTAGATGCTGGGGATGCGGTAAATAGATGTGTTTCATACTCTCAGAGACATCAGGGAAGAAACAAATTTAAATAGTGATGAGACGAGCAATACAGGCTTTACCAAATACATTAGAAAAACCAGTGAACAGAGATAAAAATTCTTGAAACATCTGTGGTGGTAATTCCATTATGGCAGTGACCAAATTGCTTTCTGAAAATCACCTCCCTACAAATCACCTGGACTCTTCATTCTTGTCTTCTAATATGTAAATTACTCATTATTTCCCTAAAACTGAAATCCCAAATCACAAAGACTCAGCAGCAAACCAAATGTAGAGTGGGGTCATCATGCAGCTGGTGGATGTTCTTCATCAATAGGTGTGTGTGAGATTGTGCTTGCGAGAATTATGGAGTTGAGTGACCATCACCCTGGGCTCTTTCTGTAAAATCACATTGTGCTAACACATTCCAATAACCTCATTCACTTTCACATACAATTTTCTGAACATAAGTATTTATAACCTACCTGCCATGCCTTATCCCTACCTTACTCATGAACAAAACTGAGGCTCACAGAGAGGAAGTCATGTATCCAGGGACACAGTCTGAACAGCCTGTCAACTAGAGTATTTACTTTGCTGCCTTCTTCCTTCCTGCCTGCCATTACCAACAAGAGAATAGCTATGGCTCAGGGTGAGTCTGCCTGCTCCCAGGGTACTGCCTTATAAAATGGATTCATGTGTCATCTGAAAGGAACAGAATCAGTAAACCTACCCCAAGAGAAAGGATGTTAGAGAGTTCATCCCATGGGAGGCTGCCCCTTTCCCACAGAGCCATTCTGCTTTGATTCTTAGCAACCACAGGGCAGAGCACATACACACGCTCCTGAGAGAGGCAGCAACCTGCCCCCTCAGGACTGTCACATTCAGCCCTACCATGCAAACCTCCCAGCACTGACAGCTTGTCTTCCCATCCTTCCCACCCCAAAAAGGAAAGAATGCTACTGTAATTTCAAGGAACTCAAAGCGACACACATATCAGGATCTTCTCCAGCATTATTCCTGTGTCCCAGCAAAGGCAGGTGAAGGACTCTGCTCCAGATCACCTGCCCATATTCTGTAACAAAGGCCAGGGCCAGGGATTAGGTGTTAGGAGTGTAAGGTTGTGTGTGTTCTAGAGTTTAAGCCTGGGTTGAATGCTCAGAGCTGATATTTACCCTCTCAAAGCCTCAGTTTCCTTAAAAATTGATAATAAATAGTACCCCCACTGACTTGTTAATAAGGGTTAAATAAGATATTTGTAGCTCAGCATAGCAATAGCAGGGACCATGCATCCAGTGATGCATTTTGCCGGTTGTGTTTCATTTAAATGATAAAAAGTAAAAAGTGAAAAAGTCACAGAGAAAAAGAGGAAAGATATAGAGGGGCGAAAAGCACAGGAATTTTGGTCCCAAAGGTCATGATTTCAATTTTATTACAACATACCAGTCTTACAGCATGTAAAAGTCAGCATTTCAACAAGAAATTTCTGACCACCTATAAAAACTAGAATTTTACTTAAGCATGTTTTAACAAGAGTTAAAGCTATTCAGGAAGAATGGAAAGTTGTGATATTATTTCAAATGGTAGAGAAAAAACATTATTTGAGTCTGAAGAATCCTCCATTTTTAATATAATGAAAATTTGAATATCATGTAACTAATTACTCAAACCTCTCTTGCATGTACTATGGCAAGATGATAAACAATATCAAAGCCTAAAGAGAAGAATAAGAATTCTTTATCTGCAACAGGAATCCCTGTGGTATTCTTCCGTAATGTATAGGGCTGTAACATACGCAACAAGAGAATTTAATACGATATCATTTGACATACTAATCCAATGTCACCTCACACGATGTCATCACACATACTTGGAGGTTGACTAAGTCTGCCAGATAGTTATCTTGTACTTTTAAAAAATGCCATAGGAAGCTTTTCGCATAATTAGTTGTGTTCCTGCCTTATCACCTGCTCAAGTATAACCAGACGGTGAGCAACCCAAGAATTCTGGTGTTTCCAAAAATTCAGATTTAAGGCCAACTTTGAACTTTACTATTTATAAATCATATATTCAGCTGCTGAAGTCACCACAAACTACAGATGTGCTTTGTTACAAGGCACATGCTTAATTTAGGAAAAGTAGATCCCTTGCTTGCTTTTTTTTTTTTTGTTAAAAAGTTTCTATCATATTTCTGAAGTCTATGCTATATGGCTTTTAAACAGGAATTAAGATTGAAAACAAAACAGCAGGGTTAAGAAGGTCAGATACAATTATTCTGACCATCCTTTCTTCACATAAGCCTCCCATATTATTAGGATTCTTAAATAACCTAATTTATAATTCTCAATCCATTCTCAAATAGCCAAATGATTTATTTATTTGCGATGGAGTCTCGCTCTGTTGCCCAGACTGGAGTCCAGTGGTGCAAATCTCGACTCACTGCAACCTCTGCCTCCCAGATTCAAGCAATTCTCCTGCCTCAGCTTCCCAAGTAGCTGGGATTACAGGTGCCCATGCCCACCACCATTCCTGGCTAATTTTTTTGTATTTTTAGTAGAGATGGGGTTTCACCATGTTGGCCAGGCTGGTCTCCAACTCCTGATCTTAAATGATCTGCACATCTCAGCCTCCAAAATTGCTGGGATTATTGGCATGAGCTACCATGCCAGGCCTAGCCAAATATTCAAATAAGTATGTGCTGACCCTTGAAACATAAAAGAATCTGATAAAAAGCCTCAGCAGTTTAAAGTGTCAGTTCTTTTTTTTTTTTAAGTTTTATTTTGTTCTTAATTGAGATACAATAATTATCTATTTATGGGATACGATGTGATGTTTCAATACACATAAATTGTTCAATGACCAAATCTGGGTAATTAGCATATACCTGTTATTTCTTTGTGGCAAGAACATTGAAATCCTCTCTTCTAGTTTTTTAAAAAATATACAGTACATTATCATTAACTATATTCACCCTCCTGTGCAATACAACACTGGAATTGATTCTTCCTGTCTAACTGCAGCTTAGTATCAATTGACCTACCTTTCTACATCCCACCCTCCTCCCCAGCCTCTGGTAACCAATATTCCAACTTCTACGTGCCAGCTTTTGTGCCATATATAAAAATAGGAATGCTAATAACACAACTTTTAAAGTAATTTTTAAAAGAGCCTCAGGACAGTTATGCTGGAAACTCTCAATGGGACAATAAAAGGTGAAATGTTTCTTTCAGCAAAATGGTTCTTGCTTCAACTACTGTGCAAAACTCCCAGCCTTGAAAATGACTGATCCGCAGGGAATCCTAGCTGAGTTACCTGACCTACCTGTTGAGCAGAAGCCCCAGCGAGCTTCCTCTCTGAGACTTCATTAAGCTGCGTTCAGCACAATTCAAAAAGGTTATTGATACAAAGAGGAGTTTCTCCTGGAGGATCACTCCTAAAAGATCAGCAACTAGTTACTGAGAATACCTGAATAACAAGAATAAGCTTTCAAAGAAGGAGTAACCATTATTTTACAGAAATAGAACGAAGTGACACCGGAGTTATAAAGTCGGCTTGGGGAATTCTGCACAAGATGTTTAAACAAGTAATGGGCCGGTTCTCAACCTGCGGCTCTGATCCAAAGAGCCTTAAGGGCATCACCCACTCTGAGATCAGGGTAGCCTCTTTGAATCCCTGTTTATAGAGTAGCTGGCTGCAGGTGAGAGAACTGGGATGATGCTGTCCTTGTTCCCCTCCCCCCACCCCCCTTCCCCCGCCCTCCCGAAAAGAAGCAAAATGATCTTTTTTTTTTTTTTTTTTTTTTAAAACATGGCAGGTACTTCTAGTCTAACTAGGGAATCCTGCAGCAGTTCGCCAAGCCGTAAAATCTCCATACGCATTTATTTCACAAACCTCCATTATGCCTTAGCACGGTTCTTCGCCCTTTACATAAGTTAACTCATTTGATCCTTATAATAAATAATAACCTTTTAGGTACGGAAAAGAGTGCAAAAAAATCCATGAAGATCGGGACTTTCTACCCACCCCAGCCGCTTTGCAAGGAAATAACCAAACTTCTAATCCCCAGGTCGAAAAGCAAGGAGATTAAAACCCAGACTGGAAAGGTTAAGGACAAAAACCGCAGGCGCGCGGAAGCAAGTCGTTACCGTCCACAGGGCCCTGGCGGTCCCAGTCGCCGCTCATCTCGACTCCCCCACTCCGCGCTGCCCCGGGCGCGGCTTCCGCAGTCTGGGCGGCGACTGGTTGCTGAGGCAGCGCCCCCCGGGGGACCGGCAGGTGCACCGGGCAGCCTCCGAGCGCACACCAGTGCCAAGTGAGGGACGAGGGCAAGCGCGCTCCTTTCCCTTTGCGATCCGAAGCTCCAGTGCCGCGGCTCTCTGCTAATATTTAGAGCGCTGCTGGCTGCGTTGCCACAGGCTTGACCCAGGGCCAGGGTCTCTCCTCCTTTGTGGGGAAGGGGTGGGAAAGTGTGTATGACCCTGGGTAATCAGGGTAGGATAAGGCTGGGTGCGCCTCTACGAGCCCACCCAGGATACAGGCTGGGTGGGCAGATGAGTGGCTCTCGGCCAGGTGACCTTTCCAGCGTCCAGTTCTTCGGAGTAACCACTTAGCAGAGCCTCATCCACCCAGAGGAGCCCCAGGCTAAATATGATGCCTGCACCAGGTCATCAGCTGAGGGAACCTATTTTAGGGCAGCTGTGGTGAACAGGATCCCCTATCCATTCATTCAGCTCTGCCCTGACATTTAAAAGTTCTACAAGCAAATACTTCTCCACTTTCAGTTTTGTGTGTGTGTGTCTGAAATTTTAAGTGTGGCAAAGGGAAATGGTATGGGGTGGTGGGCATGTTGTTACCTTATAGTAATGAGCAAAAGGAGGTGGTAAAAGGTAAAATATTGTAAAAGGCTCGGTATTTGTCTGGTCTTTGGATTAAAATTTTCTCACACTGTATTTGTTCCAGCAAGCCTTTGGAATTTTACTTTCAGTCATGTTCCTATTGTACATCTAAATTTAATTAGTGAGTGCAGCTTTTTTGTCATTCCTCCAACAGGCTTTGTGTTTAAAGTTAAATTCCCTTAGGCGCTTTTAACTGAGGCTGTCGATGTGATAGAAAGAATCAGTTAATGCCATTTCAAGCACATTTATGACAACTACATTTTTGGAGCTGCATTCGTTTTCCAGATCTCTCAATGGACTGAAAAAATCCTGCTTTACATTTGCAAATGCCTAGTGTCACTTCTTAGCAGGTGAATTTTTTCCTCTGGTAAGCATAATTGTAGTTCATATTAGTGAAGATAGTGCAGACCTTTCTTCCAAATAAGAATAGATTAGTAACTCCGATTGTTGGTATATTAGAAATAAAGTCAAGACCCTGCAGATAAATTTCATAGACTGTAAGTTTCTGAGAACCCCACATACTCTTTTGTATCCAGTCTCACCAGAAAAATCAGATCTATAACTTTAAGAGTTAACCTTCTGTAACGCTATTAAATATAATGAAAGAAATGCAGTAATGTGTTGATTAATGATGGGGATACATTCTGAGAATGCATCCCTAGGCAGATCCATCGTGCAAACAACCTAGAGGTATTTACACAAACCTAGATGGTAAATTGTACAACACACTTAGGCTGCATGATATAGCCTATTGCTCCCAGACTACAACCCTTTACAGCATGTCACTGTGCTGAATAGTGCAGGCAACTGTAAGACAATAGTAAGTAACTATGTACGTAAACATAGAAAAGGTACAGCAGAAGTACGACATAAAAGATAAAGATAAAATAACATGTTACATCTGCATAGGGCATTTACCATGATTGAAGCTTGTAGGACTGGAAGTTGCTCTGAGTAAGGCAGTCAGTGAATATTAAGTGAGAATGAAACCCTAGGACATTACTGTACACTACTGTAGAAACACTGTACCTTTAGGCCATACTAAGCTTATTAAAATATTTTTATATTAAAATATTTTTCTTTAAATTAATCCTAGCTTATTGTAATGAATCTAAAAATGTTTCTCTAAGTGTTTTAAGTTGGTAAATTTTTGACTTGTCAATGCAACTTAAAACACATTGTACAGATACACAAAAATATTTTTATATTCTTATTCTACAAGCCTTAAGGTTTACTTAATTGTTTACCTTTTTAGTTAAAAACTAAGACACAAACAAATATATTCACCTAGGCTTCTACAGGGTCCAGATCATCAATATCCTTGTCTTCTACCTCCACATCTTGTCTCGCTGGAAGGTCTCCAGGGGCAATAACACACATAGAGCTGTCATCTCCTATGATAAGGATGGCTTCTTCTGGAACACCTCCTGAAAGACCTGCCTGAGGCTGTTGTACTGTTACCTTTAAAAAAAATATATCTCTTCTCTTCCTCTTTCTTCCTCTCCTTTACTTATTTTTTTTTTTCTTTCCTTCTCTCAAAAAAAAAAGAAATCAACTTGTAAACCTCTAGATCCAGGTCGGCAATGTCTCTTTCATTGCTTGCTTTCCTTTCTTCCCTTCCCTCCCTTCCTTCCTCCCTTCCTTCCTCCCTTCCTTCCTCCCTTCCTTCCTCCCTTCCTTCCTCCCTTCCTTCCTCCCTTCCTTCCTCCCTTCCTTCCTCCCTTCCTTCCTCCCTTCCTTCCTCCCTTCCTTCCTCCCTTCCTTCCTCCCTTCCTCCCTACCGTCCTTATTCCCTTCCTTCCTGCCTTCCTCCCCCCCCAAAAAAAAATATATATATATATATGTATGAGGATTGCATTATAAAATAACTTAGTATATAGTTAATATAGTATGATAAATGTATAAACCAGTAACGGTTGTTTATTATCAGGGATTATGTGTTGCACATAATTGTGTGTGCTGTACTTCTATATGACTGACAACACTAGGTTTGCTTCCACCAGCATCACCACAAACACATGAGTAATACATTGCACCACAACATCACAACGGCTACAGCGTCACTACGTGGGAGGAAACTTTCAGCTATGGTAATTATACTCTTAAGGAACCACCATCATATATGTGGTCCACAGTTGACTAAAACAGTATTAGGCAGCACGTGACTGTATACACCCCAGCAAGTTTTTCACTTTTGTTTTTCTTAGCATTTAAATAAGAAAATCCTCTCCACTCCAGTTCAGGATAGTGACCAGTGGCAGCTGCTGCTAAATTTCATATTTCTCTTTACCACAAAGCAGGGCCTGCAGGGGCCACAGTCAATTTACAGACCTGGACAAAGACCCGCCCCCCAAGCAGGGAATATACCTTTCAAATTTTCTTAGATTGAAACCAGAAACGGCCCTATCGTGCACCTCTTACTGACTTATTTCAACTATCACATTTATCCCTGTAACAAAGGCATTGTCGAGTAATTGAAAAATATAATACACGTTCCCTGTGCCAGACACTAAGGATTTTGAGACAAATCCTATCCTCAGAGTTCAGTATAATTGAGAGAGAGATGCTTAAAACCAGCTAACCTTTCTTAGATGTTTTATATTCTGTGAAAGATAAGGGGTATTGAGGAGCCACAGCTGAGGGGATGGCTAATTCTAACGGGGATATTAAAAAATGTCTCCAACCGCAAGTGACCATTTTGAAATACTAGAAAAATTCACTAATGATAGTTTGTCATGTACTGTGAACTAGGTACCCTCCCAGATGTTTTCCATACATTCCCTTTTATAATCCTTGTAAGAATAGGAATTATTATTGTCCCATTTTGCAAGTGGACAAACTGAGAGTCAGATTAAGTAACTTCCTAAGAATCCAGAAATGAAGAGTTTCAGAATCAGAACGGGAATACAGCTGTCTGCGGTTTAAAAGACTGTTTCCCATCTCTACAGTGCACTGCATTGATCAGCAAAGATACTTTCTACAATCCTTGTAGTATAAAACTTTTCACGTAAACCTTTTGCAAAAAGTCTTGCAAGTAAAAAGAAAAGCCACGTGGTGTTGCAGGAAGCTGGACTACACCCAGGCAGTCACAATTCCCTCACACAGGAAACTCCACTTGTCGTGACAAGATAGAGCACACAAAAGGCTCTTTAAAAAGAACTCGGAAATCAGTATCCCAGGCAGGACTGCTCTGGAAATAGCATTAATTTATAAATGTATTCATTTGCTGGGCATCTATATTAAACACTTTTTATGGAAGCTAACTTCATCCCAAAAACAGATTTTGAAACAATTTGTTGTTTCAACAACAAATTTCATTCTAATTGCCAAGGAATTAGAAATGTGCATGAAGAGAAAGAAAAAAGGGGGTTACTTCATGCCAAGTTTATTTAAAGTTGAAAAATATGCCTTTTGCTGAATAGAAAGTGAAAGAAGATCCCAAGGTTCTATTCCAATGAGAAAGTCTCTACCAGTTACATCTATCCAAGAGGTCCTCCAATTTTTGTGGGTCTGGAAATCTGGAGGCATACTCAACAAAGAGGCAGCAAAATGCAATGATTAAGAATCCACTGGGAGGCCGAGGCGGGTGGATCGTGAGATCAAGAGATCGAGACAATCCTAGTCAACATGGTGAAACCCCCGTCTCTACTAAAAATACAATCCTAGTCAACATGGTGACTAGGTTATACTGTTAACCCCGCTTTACAGATGTGAAGTCTTAGGTTAGTTTTATCACTTGCTCAAGTTACTCGCTCATTGGATAGTATTGGACCGACTCAGTATTGAGTCACCATTGACTGGACTGGTCAGCATTTGAGTGTAGTGTTTGACACTAACGACTGGATTCTTTTTTTTTTTTTTTTTTTTTTTTTTTTTGAGATGGAGTTTCGCTCATTACCCAGGCTGGAGTGCAATGGCGCGATCTCTGCTCACCGCAACCTCCGCCTCCTGGGTTCAGGCAATTCTGCCTCAGCCTACTGAGTAGCTGGGATTACAGGCACACGCCACTATGTGCAGCTAATTTTTTAGTAGAGACGGGGTTTCACCATGTTGACTAGGATTGTATTTTTAGTAGAGACGGGGTTTCACCATGTTGACCAGGATGGTCTCGATCTCTTGATCTCATGATCCACCCGCCTCGGCCTCCCAAAGTGCTGGGATTACAGGCTTGAGCCACCACGCCTGGCCCCAGTTACTGTATGTTTCAAGCTGAGCTCAAAACTTCCAGGAAACATCATTTAGGTTACAATCTTTTGCACACTTTGATGCTAAACACCTGAATAGGAACACAGTCACTTCACAGAGCTCTAGGCCAAGAGAAAGAAAGAGCTTAGCAATTCACAGAAGCAAAAGTGGGAAGGTGGAGGAGAAAAAATGAGAAAAGGATCTAACATGAACTGCTTGCAAACCACCTAAATCACATTTGCCTATCCTAAGACTGGTTTCACAGCAATCAATTGGGAGGATATCAAGGCCACACAGGCTTGACTAAAGGTTGGTAAAGATGGAAAATCAGACTTGGCAGTTAAGCAAGAACCAAGCTCTGGAAGTTCCAAAAATAGGAAGCACAGCAAGTAATCTTTTATAGGGATGAGTCTGGTGAAGGGCCCCCTTTGTCCCATTGCTGCAAGAAAGCCCCATTGCTACCTTCAGATCCTATCTCAAGTACTCAGAGAATCCAGTTTTTTATTTATTTTTATTTAAATTTTAAGTTCTAGGATACACGTGCAGAATGTGCAGGTTTCTTACATAGGTATACATGTGCTATGGTGGTTTGCCTAAAGGAGGGGTCAATAGGTGAATCCAGTTTCTTTGTATCACTTGATCAAATCAATAAGGTGTGTGTGCCTGATTACCCATGTCATGCCTGGATCCAAGGATAGACACAGGATGAATCTCCTCCCTTTGGCTTCCCTGGGTGGTAAAGTGGCCCCACCATTATCATTCTCCAGGAGGGACTCACACATGTAGGAAGGAGGGTTAGCTGCAGGACATCAAAAAAGAGACATATCAACCACAGTATCTTAATGAGCCAAGCGGTGTTGAGGACTTGGCATGTAATATTCACCATGACCCTGAGAATCAATCATTGTAACCATCATTCTATAAATTAAAAATTAGGCATTTATCTAAGAACCCATAGCTAGTAAGCAACTGATCTGGGATTCTAACTTAGGCTCATGGATTTGAAAAGCTCTTCCTTTTGGCAATTGGTGACACTACTCTCATGGTTTAGTTTATCTGGATTTGACAATTTTTTTCTTTTTTGAATCTGCCTCGCTGGGTCTAAGGTCAAGGGATTTGGGGGGATGACAATGCGATATTCAAGGCCATTTGGCATGGAACATTGTTCTTGTAGCTAGTAGGCAATGCGGACACCTGATGGTTATTTTTCCAATGATCAGGCACTCATTCAAATAATTCTTATTGAGCTTTGATGTGAAAGGCACTGAGCTAAACGTGGCACATGAATAAGTCATGGTTCCTTAGAGAACTGACAGGGGAGATTGATATGTAGACAGTTAAGTCACAATACATTGTGTTACATGCAACAATAGAAGCATGCACAGAAAAAGGTACAGAAGCAGGGCTGACCAGGCAGCTACTTGGACCCCTTTAAGTAACTTTTCTGGAAGTTTTGTCAGAAAGGATGGGGTTGTGCTCAGTAACAAGTAAGTCCCCAAATCAACTAAAATTTATTTCCCACTCCTGCTAAATGTCTGCTATGCATCTTCTGTACTTCATTGCCCAGCCGGGCCCTAGGATGCTGAAGTCACCTCTCTCTGGGCAGGCTCACTTAAGAGAGGGAAGAGTAAGCAAACCATACCCTGATTCACACACTGTCTATCCAGAAAGAATACTCATCATTTCTGCCTATAGTTCATGGGATAAAGCAAGTCACAGGGCCAAAACTGACACCAATAGGACAGAAAATAATGATGATCTTCTCCTAGGGAGGAGCAGCAAGTGTTTATAAACAAAAATATAGTCCACCACATGAGCCATCTGTGAGAAGGGAGCAACAAGAAAGGCCTTCCCAGAGAGCAGAAAGGTGAAGTGTCCTGTGGAAGGTAAGATCTGGGTTTATCCTGGATTCAAATCCAGTTTCTACTACTTACTATTGTGTAACCATTGGAAAGTTACCTGAATTAACTAAACTGCCATTTCCATTTCCTCAGCAGTAAGTGTAAAATAGTACCTATCTCATGGGGTTCTTGTAGAGAGAATAAGTGAAACATTTAGCACAGTGCCTATTGCACGTAGTACATTCTTAAATGTTAATTAGCATGAAAAGCTAATATTTTAGCTGAATTTTGAAAAATGAATACAAGTTTCCATGCAGATGGGATTAAGAAAATAAGGTAGAATACTAATTTTCCAAGCAGAGGGGGCACGTATAGCCCAAGCATTGACCCCTGACCCAGCACCAATAATTGAGTCAGTACTTCCTGGAAGGGTTAAAGTGGGGAGAAAAGGATGTTCAGAGATGAAGGTAGGGAAGAGAACAGGGCCCAGGCCCTGAAGGACATATAGGCCATAGATACAAGCCTAGATTTTCTCCATTGGCAGTGGAGACCCAAGGAAGAGTTTTAATCTGGGGCAGATGGAGAGAGAGAGTAGCATCATGGAACATGCCATGAGGCAGGAGTGAGGACAAGGTGAAGCCAGGAGTGGGGACTATGCTGTGTAATAATCCAGGTGAAAGGTGGCAAGGGCTGCCAGCAAGGCAGGGACAGTAAAAACAGAGAAGGGTCTGACAGAAGGTAGTGTCCGAGGAGTGTGCCAGAGCTGTGGGGGTACCAGGGTTTCTTGCCTTTTCCACTGCTGAAGCCCAAACCCAGAGTGGCATGAGGCGCAACGCATAAGCAGTCGTTGAGTAAATGCATCAGCAGGACTTGTGTTGTGAGCGGATTCAGAATGGTGGGAGAACCGGATGGGGTATCTTTTCTCTCAGTATGTTCCAGATTTCTCTAATTATTGGACTCACCCAGGGTAGTCACTAAATATACAGATTCCCAGCAATCCCTCAACCTAGTACCTCCATCTTTTGATGAGCCTTAAAATCTCTTAAGAAGAACTACTGATTACTGGTGAGAAACGAATGATTAATTTGGCAAATTCTGCTAAACTGATTATTAGTGGTCAAAAGGGACAAGGGTGCTGGGTATGTCAGTGAGGTGCCATGATGCAATCTGGGATTGGGCATTCATTCTTCGGTGCTATTTAGAGATGTTTCTAGGTGTCATATTCATATTCCAGAGCACTTATACTAGGTTAGTGATGTCATTTGAAGAAAACAAATGTCTATATTATAAGTTACATGATTTCCACCTGTTATTACCCTTGGGTAACATACAAATCTTTCTGAAGTTCCCCCACATTGGGATCGTATCTTTGGGCTAGTGAGAAAGGCAGTGGCAAAACCTCTTCTAGAATATTACTTCTCAGAGTGTGCTCTGCAGACCAGTGCTGATCTGGGAAGTGCTCAGAACTGGCCCATGAAAGATAAGAATAAAAATTGAGGCCGGGTGCGGTGGCTCAAGCCTGTAATCCCAGCGCTTTGGGAGGCCGAGGTGGGTGGATCACGAGGTCAAGAGATCTAGACCATCCTGGTCAACATAGTGAAACCCCATCTATACTAAAAAAAAAAAATACAAAAAGTTAGCTGGGCCTGGTGGCGCGTGCCTGTAATCCCAGCTACCCAGGAGGCTGAGGCAGGAGAATTGCTTGAACCCAGGAGGCGGAGGTTGCGGTGAGCCGAGATCGCGCCATTGCACTCCAGCCTGGGTAACAAGAGTGAAACTCCGTCTCAAAAAAAAAAAAAACAAAAATTGAGGTGAGTCGTTTAGACACTACAAGAGAAAACACCTCAGTACTGCTGACGTCTTGAACCTGATGACTGCGGTGGGAGCTTTCCTGTGCATTGGAGGGTGTTTAGCTGCATCTCTGGTGTCTTCCCACTAGATGCTAGTAGCACTCCCCTCCCAGTTTTGACAACCAAAAATATCTCTAGATAGTGGCAAATGTTCCCACAAGACAAAATGTCCCAGGTGAGAACCACAGCTTTATAACAATTTAATAGAGTAATTTTATGCCTATGAATCTAATAATAGGAAAAGAAAATTGCATCGTTTGAGTTCTTTAATTTCATTTTCTAGTAATTCATTATCATATTTTGCTCTTAATTCATAGTTTTTTAAATAGCCCTTCCCTATATATAGCTTAAGACACACACAGAAAGTCACTGTAAAATACAGAAGTGGTCCTTAGAAGAAGGGGTACAACCTGGACTATCATCCACTGCCATAGTCAACATTACAAGATGACTTATGAGGAAATTAGCCTTTACTTTTATTTTATTTCTTTAACCCATCGAGGGAAAGTCTCTAACATTCCCACTATCACTAGAAAGAGAAGCAACCAGCACTAGGTTCTCCATTCTCCACTGAGAATATGTCGTTCTTCTTTCCTTTCCCAGGAGAGATGAAAATTTGCTGGAGGGACAGGTGGGGAATAACGTAGAGGTAAACTGTGAAAACCTTTGTATGAGAGAAAGCCCTAGGCAAGAGGTCATGAACTGCCTAACCACAGGTTAAATTTAGTCTGCAGACAGATTTTATTTGTCTCGCATATTGACTTTTTAAAAATTAATTACCAAACTACTTCTCATAAAAATCTCGATTGCCAGCATCTCTTGAAAGATCAGAGTCTTTGGCAACACTGGGCCTGCCTTATGTCACGATGTCAATCACTGAAGCTGAAAAGCAGCCCGCCATCCTCAGCCCTCTTCTGTCCACTGACAGCTCACTTCCCGGTCCATGTAGGCTTGCAAGTTGGCAATTTCTTGGCAAGGCCAACAGATCATTTCATCTAGACACTTGGGGAAATGGAGGTGTCAGAGGATTTGGCCTTTGAGGATAGAACATGGTAGAACCAGGGACTGTCCAAATCCAGGACAGGGCAGGTGAAAGGCTCAACTGCTTGCAGTTGCTAGACAATTTGGTTCCTGGATCTTGGAGGCAGGTCAGCTTCAGACGGGACTAGCAATATGGGCACCTCTACAGGTGGATAAAGATTGCCTGAGCCTGATCTTACTGTATTAATTGCAAATTCAGTCATGAGACATGACTGCCTTGGCAGCAGTGTCCCTCATTAGCTGGTGTGCAGGATCTTCTCCCATCACTATTTGGTTTTGTAAGATTCAAGGAGTCTCCAAAATTTGATTGCTAGACAATGTCTAACTAACCTGTCACATGAGCACTCAAACAATGGACCTTAGGAAAATAACGAACAGTGACCTTGATTGCCCTGAGTGCCGAGGAGAAAGAGTCATCTGTTAGGAAAACCCTTACTTGGTATCTACTATGTGCAGGCTTTGAGGTTCCAAAGACAGATGAAACAAATCAGTGTTCCTCACCCTATGATGCTCTTACTGAGGGAAGTCAGCTATGTAAAAAGATAATCAGGACACATTGGGTGAATGCTATTTCAGAGGACGAACCAAACCCGGGAGCGGCCAAAGCATGAGTAACATCTTCTCTTCCTGGAGAAGTTGGGGCCTCCTGGAGGAGATGGCATCTCAGCTGGGCTTTGCAGATTTGGTGGGTTTATTAGATAAAGAAAAAAAAATAAAGTATTGCAGCCGAAGGAATCAGCTTGGGTAAGTAAAGAGGGCTGGAGGCTGACTTAAATGAGTAGCAATTTCGTGTGGCAAGAAGAGTGTGAGTAAACAGAGTGGTAGGGACCCAAGAAAGGGGTGAGATCAGGTCAGTTCATGTCCTCATATCAAGGTGACTGGAGCTGGTTGGTTGCATGAAAATTCAACAGTTATGTGATCTTATCAACTTTCTTTAGAGATGAAATCTGATGGCATATTAAAGATAGACTGGGCAAGAAAAACTGGAGGCAGTCACACTCTGAAGCTTGTTTGCAAGCCTGAACTGAGGCAGTGACAGTAGTGAGACTTTCTCTGGGAAGTTCAAGACTTGCATTAAAGATGAGGTGCGAGAGAGGAAGGCGCTTTTTGTCTCGGGAAGATTAGGTGGTTGATGAAACTCTTATCAGAAATGAAAAAGAAAACCAGCAAAGAGCATGTTTAAGGCGATGTGGTAGAGAGTGAGTTGTTTGGGACAACTCTGAAACAACTGTTCAAAATAGATGTATCCAAAACGTGCCGAAAGTGTTAGAGCAAGAGAGGAAGAAAGATGCTAGACAGAGATTTCACCAATGATTGATGAAGCCACAGGAGTGGCTGAAAGTGCCTGAAAGAAAAACAATATCCAGGACAGAATCTTAGGGAAACTTCAATTTAAGGGACAAACACAAGAGAGGATAGGACAATAAGGAAAAGAAAGGACAATGAGAGAATTGGGAACATGAAGACTGACTAGAGTGATAGAAACCAGGGAAGGGTGTTTCCAGAAGCAGTCAACCCTGCAGGTCTCCTGCAGGACATGCAGAAAAATATCCACAGGATTTTACAATTAGGAGGGCATTAGAGACCTTGGTTAGAGCCACTTCAAAGGAAGAGGGGTGCCAAGAAGCCAGAATGTAGTAGGCTGAGGCATGCACTCAGGGTTGAAGTGTGAAGATCGTTATGCTACCGGAAAGTGGTCCTGATACTGACACCAAGAGAGGGTTCTTGGGCCTCGCCTAAGAAATAATTCAGGGTGAATCCATAGAGTAAAATAGCAAGTTTATTAAGAAAGCAAAGGAATAAATATGGCTACTCTATAGGCAGAGCAGACTTGAAAGCTGCTGATTGGCTGTTTTTATGGTTATTTCTTGATTATATGCTAAACTAGGGATGGATTATTTATGAGTTTTCTGGGAAAGGGTGAACAATTCCCAGAACTGAGAGTCCCTCTCCTTTTTAGACCACATAGGATAATGTCCCGATGCTGCCTTGGCATCTAAAAACTGTTAGGACACTGGTGGGAGCATCTTTTAGCATGCTAATGCATTGTGATTTGTGTATGAGCACTGGGGATGGCCAGAGGTCACTTTCATCGCCATCTTGGTTTTGGTAGGTTTTGGGATGCTGACCTCTTTACTGCATCCTGTTTTATAA